AGCCCTAACAATGGATCTTTACAGCCCTAAAAATGGATCTTTAGAGCCCTAACAATGGATCTTCAGAGCTCTAACAATGGATTGTTGTAGCCCTAACAATGGATCTATAGAGCCCTAACAATGGACTGTTACTGCCCTTATGGCCGCTTGCTAGTAACAAGCAGTTGTTACTTGCTATTAACAAGCAGTACCCCCATGTCCACCATCCTTGAAGGGCTTGAAGAGTGATTGAATGTTTATAGTTTTGGAAATGAGTGATTTTTCTGGACTGGAATTGAAAAAGGACTGTAAGTAAATCTTAAGGTTTACATATATATTTATATGTGGCAGCCATCTTGGATTTTGACTTAGCACCCCAATTTCCTAAATGAACATTTCTTATGCCTATATGCGACCACACACCAAAATTGAAGTCAGTACCTCACTTATTTTTCAAATGATCATGCTTACAACATGCACAGACATACATAACGAGGGTATTTCCAATTCCCACTTCTTGTTCTGTGACGGTGGACAAAAAGCTATTATTCAGTCAAGCTAATTTGTGTGATGGTAGCTGATAATGATCTCAGTGTTATGTACTGCATGAGATCACATCTGTAACTCCATCCCTTCTTATCCTGAAATCTTTAGAACTCTGGCATGAAGCAGCCATTTAAATCTGTCATTCTGGCAAATAAATGGAAGTAATTATTTTACAGTGCAAAGATTACCTGGGCTATTTTAAAATATGACCCTTATATCATGACCCTGTATTGATTCATACCCATCTGCTCACCTCTGACTCATGTTCGGGCTGCTAACGTATGTATACTAACAATACAGCATATTGTTTTACATTATTGTTTTACGTATATCTTAGATCTTTGAGTTTACCATTTGGCGTTTGTTTAGTGTACGTATATCTTAGTGTATATCTTAGATCCTTATAAACTGTTTCTTTTTATACTTCGTATTTTTTTTATTTTGGGGTGTAACTGGGACCCTGTGTAGATAATTTCATTCCACCTCATGTACCACATGTGATGTGAATGACAATAAACTTGACTTGAACTTTTGAATACAATAGTTATAAAAAAAATTAAACACACATTCAGTGTGAAGCTTTATGAATTTTACCTTTGTATTAATATTTTACTGGTAAACAGTCACATTATAATGGTCAATGTGTTTAACAGTTCTAGTTTATGAATATTCTTATCTCAAAGTATTTGAACATTAAAATATGTAAAATTGGTAACAACAGGCAAACTAGACAAGAAAATCTACAGAATCAATGCAAAAAACAATTTAGTTTTCATAAGTGATCATTTATTGAATTACCGTAAATTTCGGTCTATAAGCCGCTACCTTTTTCACAGGCTTTGAACCCTGCAGCTTATATAATGCTGAGGCTAATTTATGGATTTTTTTGGGGATGGGCTAACAAGCTTCCAGCCGCCAAGAACATTTAGCTTCATCACACCTGGGTGCTCACATCTCTCATGTCTCTCTTGAGGGGGGTGGTTCCTCATGACTTAAGACTAGCTGCATAAAAAAGGTTTAATTTTTTTTTTAAATCTGACCAATGAAATTACTAAACAGGTCACTGTGGACCAATGAAACAGAAAGGGGAGGAGAGAACGAGGAGTAGGGAGACTTCCCTGAATGAGCAGAGCAACTTCTGCTCTGCAGAGCACAGTCTTTCAGCAGGAGGAATATGAAGATGGTGATCAATGATTTCCTGGTAGACTACTGTATTTTGACTGAGGACGTGTGATGAAGGTTTTCTGAGGCTGTTCAATTCTAACACTGAAGAAGACTTTAGTGGTTTTAGTGCACAGGATCAATGATTAGCGATCAATGACTTTTCCTGGTAAGCTACTTTATTTTATTTTTAACCAGAAGTGTTACATGCATTGTTCAGAAAACACATTTACAGTACGTATTTGTGTATGTTACCGGTACGTATTTAATTAAAAGTTAAAAAAATCTTTCAGTGTAAATATCTCATGTTACAACATGAATACCTTCGGCTTATGCATTTTTATTTTTTTAATTTAGTGTGTGTTGTTTATATTTGGGTGCGCGCTATAGTCCGGAAATTACAGTATTATTTTTATTTATTTATTTGGGCTGCTCCCTTCTTCGCAAACTAACTCGCACGAAGACTTAGCAATTTGCTGGTGAAGATTCTCACTCATCCAGGACATGATGAATTCAAAAAAACGTCTTCTGAAGACTTGGCAATTGTTTTTTTTGGATGTCCTTCCTGACGCAACCACAGACCACCAAGCAACCACAGCCCTCTGTGTGGAGCAGAGCTGCCATCTAGGGCTCCTGGGGGAGCAGATGGTGGGGGTTAAGAGCCTTGCTCAAAGGCCCAGAGTGGGGCAAATGAGGGTGGAAGCAGGTGTGGGCGCTTCAACTTTCCCACCCACATTTTTGTGTTGGCTGTCAGGGGGGGTTGAACCGGTGACCATCCGATCACAGGCCCACCTTCTCTAACCTCTGCACCACCATATTGAATTAAAACCACTTAAACAAAAAATTATATATATTTTTTTCTTTTGAAAAACCAGAAGAATTCACTGCAGGGAGAAAAGCTCATTCAATTAATTTATCTATTTATGTACTGGTACTATTTATGTATAACTATTTATTTTATGTTATGTTTAGGTTTATTGTTCATTTGTCATATGCAGGCCAACACAAAGTCAACAATGCCATGAAATGTTCAGGAACAGAAAAACCATCTCGACTTGCCAAAAAAACAAACAAAAAAAACCCCAACAACAAGAAATACCAACGCATGCAACAAAAATACAAAACAAAGTGCCAAAAGTGAAAAATAAACATCTACAGCAGCATGGTCCTATTAGCAGTGTGGTTCTGTTAGCAGTGTGGTTCTGTTAGCACCGTGGTTCTATTAGCAGCATGGTACTGTTAACAGTGTGGTTCTGTTAGCACCATGATTCTGTTAGCAGCGTGGTTCTGTTAGCAGCATGGTACTGTTAACAGTGTGGTTCTGTTAGCAGCGTGGTACTGTTAACAGTGTGGTTCTG